CGTCTAATGAAGCAGAGACCATTAAAAGACTCGTATAGCGAAGCAAGACCAAGCTGTCAAAAACATTGTAAAGCGAAAAACAGGGACCTAAAATTTAACCGTCTTGCGAGGCAAGGTCCCTAACATCGTAATGCGAAAATCGCCCATAGGAAAAATTGTTAAATAAAGCGCAAGATTGCTCCAAAAACCTCATCGTAAAGCAAATTAGTCATTATGCGAAACAATCGTCTTGCAAGGCACCGCTGTATACCAAAATCTGTCCAAATATGGCCATTCCAACAACCTCTTAGAGATTCAGCAGTTGCAAAAAGCATATCTGGGAATCGTATTAATAAGATCTTCCAACGCATGAGATGTGGGTGTTTTTTTTTAAGAGAAAACCCAAAATATATCCAGATGATCACACCAATGCAAATCTAATCTAAACGGAACTAGATTATGTTTCTTCTAAAAACTGGGGTCCTCCTCTTATTTGGAGGGCAACAAAGCCAGAAGGGGAGGCATAATCTTATATTCCAACTGAAAAAAAGGAAGTTACAGTTTTCCAACCAGTTTGCTTCTCAACCAAAGCATTATTCAGTTTTTTCACTTTCAGCTAATATCGGCATTTATTACATTGCTCAAGAAATTTAAAGCAGGGTGGCTGCAATAATTAATGACAGCACTGGCACCTATTTATGGTTTATTTTTTAAATTACTTTTGGGTCCTTCCTCTCCGATGAACTCAAGGTGGACCACAGGCCTCCGTTCCTCCCAGCTTACAATGCGCCCATGAGGTTCTCTATCCCAGCTGCTCTCAAGGTCACCCAGCGAATTTCAAGGCTTGGGGGCCATTAGAACCTGATCGCTCAAGCCTCAGTCTATACTCAAACCAGTACGCGGACTCTCTGCAATATACTGTTCAAAACCGTGTCCTACTAAATGGCTGGAAACGGCCCCTGTTGTTAAATAAAAGAGCTTCAATGTGTCCTGAATTAATCAAGGCTGCATTTCCTAAATGAACTGTAAACACTGCCCAAATGAGCCGTGGAAGAGAAGCTGCTGCCTTCTACGCTGTCCAGGTGAAATCATCTCCTGTAACTGGGGAAAAGCTGTGTTGAAACGAGTGTCTAAGGGCCTTAGGATGCAGGTGGAGAGGAACAGCCAAGACAGGGACCCTTGTGGAGAAGATGAGCAAATCAGGTGTAGTCAGGTGTATAGCCCTAAAGTAAGAAAGTGTGAAGGCAAGAGGAGAAGGGGAGGACAGAGGACGAGATGGACAGGGTCACCGAAGCGACCAATATGACTTTGACCCAACTCCGGGAGGCAGTGGAAGACAGGAGGGCCTGATGTGCTCTGGTCCATGGGGTCATGAAGAGTCAGACACAACTAAACGACTAAACAACAAGAAGATGTAGCAGGAAAATGAAGCCACAAGCCCTACGACACTGGCTTGTCTTCGGGCTTCCATTTCCTTCTGAGCATAGCTGGGTTCCTTCAAGTATTGGGGAAAGAAATCGGTTTTCCCAGGAATGGTATACGGTTGATGCACTGCATATGGGGGTGGTCTGGTCTTGGATGGACACTTAAGAGCGATTAGTCTTATACAAATCTATTCCTCCTTTGTTGACACGGTCAGATCCAGTTGTTCACATTTGCTGAATCTCATTCTTGGGTGGAGTTGGCTCCAGGGACCCTCGTGATGAGGTCCTGCGCTTGAAAATTCAACCCTGTCCTGCTGTCTGTACAGTAATAGCAGCCGCGATACAGTGATTGCACACAGCTCGGGGAGGAGTGCTAAGGAAGACTTATTATGACCTTACCTTCTTGGAGAACTAGAAATGCTTGTCCCTGGCCTGTGAGCCCTTAGGATAAAGCCGACTATGCTTTTGAAGCAAGCAAACCGAGCAGTGCTGGCTTTGACAGTTGGGTGTTAGTAGGAAGAATGAATGGATTCAAACTCTGTTCTTGTACATTTAATCCGGAAACTACACGGGAAGATACCAACAGAGCTATTTTTATCTTGGGCTCCACGGCCACTTTCACTTCTACACATCCAAATCTCTTCTTTGTTGGGATTTGCATAATTGGATCATAAACACAGCACACACACACAAAACAGCAGAGGAGATCTGAGAACTTGGTAAGAATTTTTAAAGAAACCCACACAAACATCTGTAACAAAGGGAAAAAAGAAACCTCAGCAGCCATATCTAATTTTGAGCAGAAAAACAGTGACAACGGTCCACGGAAAGCCTCGTTAACATCTTGTGTTTGGAAACACAACAGCAAAACAAAGGGGGTTTTTCACACCCTCTCTCTCCCACTCAAGAACAGGCTACAACTTACAATGAGGACGTTTAGAGAAAGCAGACCCTTCCTCCCCGGAGTGCCAACGATTCCGGCGATGTCACCGAAGGGAAGAAAAGACGTCCGGTCCCATACAGCGGACGTTCGGCAAGCCGTTCCCCCACCCCTTCCTTGTCAGAGTCCTCTTTTGCTTGTTTACTGCCCTGTGAACCAAATACCGTGTTCAGATTTTGACTCTGCTCCAACCTCTCGTCCAGTTACCAATTGGAAGCGGAAAAGCTTTCAGAATAATCTTTCTGATTAGCGGGGAAGAGCATTTGAGCACAAAAAAAAGGGGGGAATCGGGGAGGAAGAAGATAATGAGGACAGTAGAGGGAAGTTGAGATACTGATGCTGGGGTGGAAGGGGGGTGCAGGTGCAACCCAATCCAACGGACTGGGAAAGAAAAGTATGGAGTCAGACATTCAAGGCCGCGGGCTGCCCACCTAAAGAGATACCGGATACCTGGGAGTTTTACAGCAGGCAGGGGTGCAGGATCGGTTCCCTGGGAAGAGGGAGCAGAGCAATTCCAATAAATTTTGGTAGCATCCCAGAAGAAGCAGCCTATTGTTCCTCCTCTGTCCAGGCGGCACCAGGGCAAAGCCGAGCCTGGTCCGCCCAGACTGGGAGCGAAAGACCCAGACTTGGGGAACGGGGCAAGGAGAACGGCCAAGGAGAAGACATTTTGGTGCTAAGGACCCCCGTTTCCGTGAGCTCCTAAGGAAGGAACAGACAGATGGTTCTGGAGGAAACACAACTTGGCTGGGGGAGGGAGCGCTAAACATTTTGGAACCACAGGAGTGTTAATTCACACTCTGCAGGGCGCTTCAAATACACAACACGTTTTTCTTTGGCACGAAGGGGATAGCTCGGGGCCTGTGGATAAATCCAGGCAAGGGGATCTCAAGGCGGCTACGCATCCGCGCCCCATTCTGATGACAACGTTAACTCAATGGTTCCTCAGCTTTATCTAAGATTTCCCCATTTGAAAAGAACCAAGAACCTCAGTTAATAGAAATAAGAGCTTTACATTAAAATATACTGCTATTTGGGGTCCTACTCACCCGCTGCTATGTACCCCTTCTGAGACCTTTCCCTCAAATTGCTCTTATGTTGGAACCCGATCCCTTTTCTTGCGTTCCACTCTTCAGCCTGTCAGCAAACACTCCCAACCGTGGGTATCTTCGCTATAAGGTGCCCGACCAGGGTTCACCTGACTTAGCACTTATTCTGTTTACTTATTTTGTTTATCAATTGAAAAAGTTTTTAACCCACCTTTCTCCTTAACAAGGACCCAAGACAGCTTGCAACAATTAAAAGGCAGCGCTTAAGCTCATAACAGCAAGTATACAATACTAAAAGGATCCATGAATACAATACAAAAAAAACACACTAAAGCAACACCAAAATATATGCAATGCAATAAGCTACAACAATCCATTTTTGCTTAAGCTCATAACAACAAGTATACAATACTAAAAGGATCCATGAATACAATACAAAAAAAACACACTAAAGCAACACCAAAATATATGCAATGCAATAAGCTACAACAATCCATTTTAGCTAAAGCAACACCAAAAGACTGTACATGCAATGCAATAAGTTGCAACAATCCATTTTAAAAACACCACTCAACAACCACTCACTGAGGGAAAGCTTGCATGAAGAGGGAGTTCTTTGCCTGCCTGTGGAAGGACAGCCGAGACAGGACCAGCCTGGCCTCCAGTGGCAGGGAGTTCCAGAGTATCTGGGAGCAGCCACACAGAAGGCCCTGTTCCTTGTCCCCACCAAAGATGCTTGAGAGGGTGGTGGGACTTTGAGAAAGGTCTCTCCTAATTAGCTTGGCGCCTGAGCAACTCATAAAGAGAATCATGGTCCTTGAAATAGCGTGGACCATCCAAGCCATTCAGAGCTTTATACGTTCCGACCAGCACTTTGAATTGTGTCCAGAAACAGATCGGCCGCTGGTGGAGCTGCTGTAATAGGGGTTGTGCGGTCCCTGTGGCCAGCCTCCGTCAGCCATCTGGCTGCTGTGGTTCAGAGCTTTATACGTTCTGACCGACACTTTGAATTGTGTCCAGAAACAGATCTGGCCACGGTGGAGCCGCTGTAATAGGGGTTGTGTGGTCCCTGTGACCAGCCTCCGTCAGCCATCTGGCTGCTGTGTTTTAGACCCTCCGAAGTTTCCGGAGACTTTCCATAAGTGGCCCCACGTAGTGCACATCACAGTAACCCAGCTGGCATGTCACTAAACCATGTGTCACCGTGGCCAGATCGGACCACTTACCCCACCTCTGTTGAGGGCGATCGGATCACTCTTTTGGACAACAGCTCCCAGAATCCCCAGTGGACGCAAACTATTCCCTGTTCCGACGATCACAAAGCTGCATCCAGGTCTCCCAAAATGCAAAAACAACTAGACTGCCCCAGTCGTCAGACCGGTTTGACGCCACGTGACTCTCAAATGCCATGGATGCAGGAGGGTCACCCGGGATGGGAACACCCAAGCAGATCGAGAAAGGGAAGAACCAGCCCAGCACGCTTAGCGAGTCAACATTCCTCCATGCATGGATACCTCTGGGGTCCAGGGGGGAATCTGGAGGGCATTCCACCTGCACCAGGCAAGAGATCTGCCCCCCCCGAAATGCCAGCCTCCACGCCCCACTTACATTGATCATAGCATTGGAGGTGATCCGGAAGAGGGTGGCTCTCTCGTTGACGGCCTTGATCTTCTCCCCGCTCTCGGCCGGCAGCTTCAGGTTCTCCAACTCGCTCAGCGACCGCTGGAGAGCCGCCCCGTGCTTGGCGATGAGGTCGTTGCAGGTGCTGAGATCTTCCAGCTTACTGGAGAGGTTTTTCAGAGTGCCGTGCAGTTCGCTCTTCTCGGACTGCGAGGCCGGCTCCTCGTCGCCAGAGTCATCTGTAGAGGGGAGCGACGGGGAGGGGAAGCGCGGGGAAGGGAAAGGGGGGGTCGCGCAAAGCGAGGGAGGGAGGGAGACAAAAATTGTTCCCATGGTTACTGTCCAGACGGCACTGGAAACACAGCATGGTTTTTGGGATGCGGAGAGAAGCAAGACCTTAGGTTGACAAGAAGCGATCCTTCTCCTGCCCTTCCTGTGTCTCTGTCTGGACAAGTCAGTCTTTGCTGAGCTCCTGTTTTTTTTTATTATTATTATTATTCCTTCCTCCCTTTTGCCCAAAGCAAGGCTTTGACAAAGCCTCCGATTATATTTTTTTGCAGAATATGGGCTGCAACAAGGCCATCAACAGAAGGACTTAAGAGCAGCTTGGCGGGGTGGGGGGGTACCCAGAAGAACATCCTGCAACGCCTCCTTGAAGGAGATGCTTTACCTGTGGGTTTTCTGCACAAACGGGGCAGGCAACTCAACCATCTTCTGACTGCTCTCTCCTAATTGCCATGTCTTCCTTCGAAAGGCAATTCCACCTAAGCAGGCCACCCAGAAGCGTATTTTTTTAAAGGAGCACAGATCAGAGCAGCACATTGATGCTATCATAAAAATCTATTTTAAGTATGATTTAATTATGACCCACAGTTTCCCGAAATGAGGTAAGAGAGCACTGCGGTTTTATGAGGCTCCTGAGATCAATGTGCTGATGATTATTTATTTGTTTGTTATGCAAGCCATTTTAATGTTTCTTTTTGTTTCAAGAAGTCTCAAAGCTGCTTACAACTTGAAAAACCGAAAGAAAAAAAAACAGAACCACAAAACTGCTGGATAGCTCAGTCGTTTAGGTCTCCGGCTGCACAGCCAGAAGTTGGGAGTTCAATTCCCCCTTTCGGCCTCGTTGAAAAGGACTGGAGGTGTAAAAAAAAGAGAAGGGGACGTTCGGCCTCGTTGAAAGGGACTGGAGATGTAAAAAAGTGGTGGTTATGTGAAACAAGAAAGAAAGAATGGAATTTAATCTTTAAAGAAATATCTGAAATAATTGGGTTGAACATTCAAATGTCTCCGTTAATGGCCTCATTGAATGTGATTAAGAAAGATCAAGATAAATAAGGATTTAATAGTAATAATGATTACTGCTGCAAGGTTAATTTTTGCAAGAAACTGGAGAAATGATAATCAATTTAACTTGGAGGAATGGTATAGAGAATTATGGGACATGGCAATTAATGATAAACTGACATGTGATATGAAAATAAGAAGAGGCCAAATTGAAAAATAATGATTTTTAAAAAAATATGGAATGTAGTTTTTGGAACATGTATTTCGGAGAGGGAGGGGGTATACACCGAGGGAAGAAACAATGAAATTTTGGAGTGAAAATGGATTGAATGAAGTGTAACGCTAGTCCTGAAGGGGATGGGAGCACATGTGTAATCGTATTTTGTTGTTTTGTATTGTTTTATAGGGTTTTTTTGTGTGGTAGTAGGTTCATTTTTTATTAATTAAAAAAATAATTAAAAAAAAGAAAGGGACTGGAGTCAATGATCTACAGGGTCCCTTCCAGCTCTAAAGTTAATGATGATGATATATCTTCCTTGCTGTTTGTAAGCCCTTTCAATTTCTTCACATATTAATCTTCTCCATTTACTGTGTATTATGCTATTTGATATTTCATTATTAGAGATTATATTATAATGTATTATATTTAGTAATAAAACAGACACTCCACACCCCAAACAATAAAATTACTGTGAATAACTAACTAAGTTGTTGTTACGTACCATTAAGTCATTTCCAAACCTATGGCAATCCTAAAAGGGTCTTTGAGGCATTTGAATTATTCAAGGAATAGCTGATCGCTGCCACCTCCCCCTCAAGGAGTTTCTGTGGCCAAGTTAGGATTGGAACTCGGGTCTCCTGGAAATAAAGCAAGGTCAACCTCTGAAACTGAGCAGCAACTTGCTTCTGAGAAAGAGGGCTACAAGGACTTGACCCGAGTAAAAAACTGGCTAGTCCCTAAGGCGTCACAACATTGCCGGTTGCTTTCGCTACGGCAGCTGGCACGGTTGCGCCCTGAAAACATCAAGAGTCCCTTCTTAAGGGGGCCACAGGAAATCTGACTCGACCTGGCTCAAAACGTTTGCACAGCCACGGTCTTTAGCCCCTTCAGCGAGGTCCACGTTCTTTCAAGGCTTGGCTGAAGGGAACAGCAGAGGGAGACGTAGTTCGGCCGCACAGACTTTGCACAGAC